ATTTGATGCAATTAATTGAGTCACTATTAAAACATATAAATAATTGAGTTATGATGCAATTATTTTTGAGAATTTTGAGAATTGAGTCAACAGCAAAATAATTTACACCACATATATAGGGTATACCCTACCATTATTTTTAATAATGTTCTGAACCTCATGCAATTCCCTGTGATTCTGTTTGATTCCAATTTTTGAAACCATAAGTATTTATATGATGTGAATTCTTGAAAAAGTATGGCCTAGAAAAAAAATCTCTAATGAGCATATTGCCTTTGCAATATCAATATGTAAAACAATTTTAAATCCTGAAAATTATATAATTCAAATTAAAGAAAATTTAATAAAACCCGAAATATTAAAAAACAAGATAAATTTAAATTTTTTATAAAATAATCTAAAGAATTCTATTTAATTTTACAATGTTATAAAAAAAATTACAAAACAACAAAGCCTTCTACAGAGAATTATTAAATTCTAATAATAATAATAATACTGATAATGAACAAAATATTATTATAATTTAAGAAACATTACAGAAAAAAAAATTAATATAAAATACTTTGGAAATAAGTATAAACAATATAGTAATTATATTTATTTTAAAACAATTTTTACAAAATTCTAATAATCTATATGTTTTAAGGTGAAGATAATGATAATGATAATTTTAATAATTAATAAATAATAAACTCTTTCTACTAATCCTTTTGCCAACCCAAAAAACAGATGTTTTCAAATGATTTTATGTCTTTATGATAATAAAGTCTATATATTCTCCTTAAAAACACTGGTTTTCTAATCAACAGAATGAGCAGAAGCTACTACTTGTTTTATTTTTCCTTTTCAAAACACTCTTCTTGTTTATTTTTGCAACTAAATACAAGAAACCTACCTAAAATATCTATGGCAAGAACACTTTTATAGGAAGAAAACTGATAAGAAAAAATATTCTCCAAAGACTCCAAAAGATTTAAAAATCTAGAGAAACAAGAATAAAGAAATCTTTAGTCTTCCTATCATCTCTTTGACTTCCCACTTCTTTTTTCTTAAGCGTGCTTCATTTTTTCCTGGTTTTTCTAGGGAATTTTGTCTACCTCAGTTTGATCCTGAATTTTTGGTCACACCAGATTTTCTGAAAGATGGTTGATCAAGGCCATGGATTGGTTGATCATGTCAGTTACAGAAAAAGTAAACAAGACATGTACTTCTTACGTGTTTCCAGTTGCGCAATACCAAACCGATGATGTGATTGGTTTCTGAAAGAGTTGGATGGTTTTTAGTTGAAAAAGTAGTATGGAAGTACTAGATAAAGTTGAAGTTGTGAATAGAAGAGGAGCAATATCTTTTTGTTTTTATCCTTTTATTTTCTTTTTTTTTTCCTATTCTTTCTTGAGGACAGAAAGTAGTAAGGATCCTAACAATTCTCTTCAATTCTGTATTTAATTCTCAAGTTTATATTAAATTTAATAGGTGAGGTATACTCTATCATTATTTTTAATAGTGTTCCAAACCTTATGTGATTCCCTGCAATTCTGTTCGATTCCAATTTTCAGAACCATAGGAAGTAGCAACAAGATCTAGGTCCTATCCCAATCTGATAACAAGTTGAAGTATCAATATTGATTCTGAAAATAATTAGAGAAAGAGATCTTGAAGCTATCTACCAGTTGAATAAAACAATAATTCCAGAAGACATGGCTTGAGAGAGAAATCAACAATAGAAAATCAATATTCTTTCTGGTTAGAAGTCTTCAAGCATAAAGTCTCAAGAAATACTTTCCTGGAAGTGCTCTTAAATATTCTTGAATATTGACTACTTCAATAAAAATTAAACAATTTGTCTGATCACAGGTGGTGAGAAGTGAGGAATCATAAGGGACTTGGGTTTTGAAGTTCATAAAGATAATCTTTTCAATGATAGTTAAAATAGACGATAGCTTTTTTTCTTTTCTTTTATTCAAAAAATTCCTTTTTTATTTCTTTTTTCTTTTATATAATTATTACAAGAGAAGAGGTGATCTGCAGATTTTGATTTTATTGGAAGTTCGGGATCTTAATTTCACTTTTTAGAGAAACAAACACATCATCCCATAAATCATATCTAGAGGCTTTGGCTGTTGATGAGTAAGTTGGATCAGTGAAATTTATATTTTGTATGCATTCTCAATTTGTAATAGTTCTTTATGATTTAATAAATAAATAACATCAATCTGATTGCAAGATTAAAAAAAATAATAATAATAATAAATTTTAATAAAGAATTTTAAAACACATAAAATTGTTTATTATATTATTAATTGATATAAAAAAAATATAGTAATAAAATATATATTATAATATAATATAATACTTTGAAGTCCTTCAAAAAAACTGAGTACTTCAAAATATATATATATAATCTCTGTTTCAAAGATCTCTAATAAAAACAAAAATCTTTGGAAATCTCCACCATATTAAATTTACTAATGTAAAATGATATAATTCAATTTCAGATATAAAAATTTTAATTATAGGACATAATATATGAATTTCAGGTTCTATTTTTAAATACAATATTTATTTTTAATTAGATAACTTGATAATTGCTCTTCTATGATATTTGATATCTTTTTTTGAAAAATTATTAAAAAGATCTTATTTTAGACTAGTTTAACAATAATTTATTTCAAAAAGATAATTATTCAATAATAATTATTAATAATTAAACAACTTATGGACAATAAGTTTGTAATAATTTCTTAAATACTTTTGAATAGCTTTAAAAAAGGTAAAGTAATATGAATCTAAAAAATAATCTCTATAGAATTCTATTATCAAAGAAAAATACTATTTCGATTTTTTATATCAACCTTTTTTTTAATTTCTTCAGTTAAAAATAAAACTAATAAAAAGATACAATAACAAACAAAACCCAGCTAATTGACCAAATAAACAATATTAATGAAAATATATAAGTTTATATCTAATTAATTTAATATTAAAATATAATAAAAACAATACTATAATCTATTTGATTGGAAGAATACATAATTAATATCTTGTATGTGTTCCAATAATATGATGATATGATAAAATCCCATTAGACTTATTATTCTCTAATCAATCTCAAGCTATATTTTATCATTTATAAAGTGCAATTTAGCTTAAATATTATTCGATACATAAATGATCTTTTTACTTTCGATCTAACAAGATATTTTTTATTAGTCGAAAAGAAAACCTCAGTTTATATTTCGGAAACTAAAATTAATCAACAGTAAAATTATAAAGTGTCCCTGGATACCAGTCGCATTTATAGCAAAACTAGTACACTTCAACCTAATTCAAGATTTTGTATTCAGAGCGCGTCGAATTGATCTGGAAGAAACAAACATAAGTTATTTTAAACTAGAGAACGTTCTCAGATACTATTAAAAAAGCTTGTACCTCTGAAAGGATGCCTACAATAACTTCATATGGTAGAAGCATAGTATATTTCAAGGAATTATTGCACCTTCAGTTTAGTTAATTCCCACTCTACATATCTTCCACAGACCAACTGTATGCTTCGCTAGCCATTGTGGCTCTAGAATTCATTCTTTCAAAGAATTGTTTCTCAAAGCCATTTGATCGATCTGCATGTAATAAAAAGTCAAAATGTGATCGAATGATATCTCCAAATAAATTTTCAACTCACCAACACCATCCCATCTATAACCTGGTGGAATATTAAATCGGTTTGGGGGGTGGAGGTACACCTTGGTACCTTGGTCGATCTGATTCTTTTTTCTTCTTCTGAAATTTTGGAATAAGAAATATCATCATCAATTCATGAATTCCAATATGCACGTCAGTTTGAAGAGACTCACTTTAGTTAAAAACGTTGACGCAGGGTCGTTCCATCGTTCTTTATCTTTTTGTTCTTTATTCAACTCTTCGTCGTCCTTGTATCTAAACAAAGCCATGAACATGAAAAGTTATGTGATGTGTCAGAACAAATTAAACATATTTCGGTATTATTAAGTTCCTACATGGCCAACGGTCGATTTCGTAATTGCTCTTCCTTACGAACTTGTTCTTCTTTCCCCCATTTCATTCTTTTTTCTTCTTCTTCGATCTTGCGCCGCTCTTCGGCTCGTTCTGCCGCTACATCAATTTTCTTCCCTGCAATAATGCATTAGAAAGTCAGAGACGAAAAAGTGAAATGATCTAATTATTTGTACTAACCATATTTATCACGATACACGGTAGGCGCATCGCGGCCTGATAATGTTGGGTCCATATTTTTCAATTCTTCGCGTGCATCCCTTTTAATTCTATCCAAATCTTTCTTTACTTTGTCGGCAGTCTGCAAACCGACACCCAGTCCAGACGACATCTTTGCGTTCGGGGATGGTGATCGACGTCGTTTTTTTCGTGTTTTTTCAGAAGTCTCCTCGGATATGCTCGTTTGTACTAAAGGAATAAATCAATTAAACACTTTTCTCGAATAAACCAACAATCGTATGCGCTTACCGATCTGCGGTGCCTCATCTTCCTCCACGACAATCGGTTTCCATTTCGTTTCTTTTTCTACCTCTGAAAATTCTATATGTAATATCGAATGGTTGATCAATTTGTTTATTGATAAACATTGGGGTAAAAAAATATTGGACATTACTTACCAACTACGGGCGCGAATTCTTCTTCTTCCTCTGAAAGATTTTTTTTCCATTGCTCGGTAATTATTTCTTCTTCATCAATAATGGCAACAGTTGTGGTAGAATCCTTCGTTTTCTTCTTCTTTTTCTTCTTTACATTCTCTGAAGAAGAAGGCGTGGCGCCGTACTTTTTAGCTAGATAATCATCGAGTGAGGACATGTAGAATTACATGAATTATGTATTCTTTTTTAGTATAAATAAAATCTGAAATGTGATTTAATTAGTCACGTTAAATCGATAACGTGACAAAGATTACACGCCATTACTGGTATTTTTTATTAAACATATTGATATTTTAACAAATTTCACAATCTGGTTAATTTACTGTATTACATTTTTTTTATATTGAAATTCATTTAAATTAATCTTACCTAATACTTATAAATATACTTAATATATTAAGTTGTATTAAGTAAGTAGCTTCATATTTCAAATAAGATATTTAGTTTAAATTATCTATATTTAATTTTAATTGTATAGTATAACAAAAAAGTATTCGTGATTAAAAACTCTCTTCTAATCACATCTGTTTTGTTAAAAATTTTCTTTTTATGATAATTTTAAGTAAGAAAAAATGGTTTATACTCTTTATTGCAAGTAAGTTTCAGTTCAGAAACTCAAGAACCTTCAAGACAACTGATACAATAGAATAGGATCTCTGATTAAAGTCTATTCAAGTTTGGAAGTTTTGCTTATCCTTCAGTTGCATGAAAAAAGATCTGTAGCAGTTTTCTATTCTTTTGTTCTTTTATACATTCCTTACCTTTATTTTATCATAAAAACCATCCATATTATCATCATTATACTCACTAAACAAAATACTTTCCAAAATATATACTTAAACAAAATTAGTGGATCTATTATTTGTTTCAAATCAATTCTCAATCTCAACTTTACTATGGTGACACTTGCTGCACCATCTCAAATTCTCCAATATTTTTATCTGACCAAAAAAATTAAAATTAATTTATTCCCTCCAGATGATTAGTGCTCTTCAATCATCCAATCAGATTTCATCTAAAAATCAAAACAAAAACTAAATCTGTTTAAACTGGTTTTGTACTATAATAACAATAATAACAATAACAATGTCAATTATATCACTATTGACAATTACAATAACAAACAACATCACATATACACTATTATTTATAGTAACCAAAGAGTTGAAGAGATGAGACAATGAGTCTGTTTGGAGGTTTTCTTAAAGAAATAATTAATTTTTTACTTATAGATTTTATAGTCTACTTTATTTAATTTTAGTTTTAGTTATATTTATTTTTTTCTCTTTTTTAATTACTTTATTTACAAATTTACAAAAAGACTTTACAAAATTTTCTAAATAGGTAGGCATATTCACTATTCAAACACAGCTAGTATATAGTATTGTTTTGAATTTATTTTTCAATATTAGCTAAATGTATATATATAGGCAAGCTAGCATTTAACTTGTTACTTTGTATATGTAAGAGATATTGTTTTTTTTTTTTTTTTTGGGTTTCCCCAGTAGGTAAACATCATTTCTTTATTTGATATTGTATATAACAAGGTATAC